TAAGAGAGGCATACATGGTCCCCTGGAGAAGGGGAAAGATCTCCTGAGCAAATTGGGAGCATGGGGGGAGGGGAGAGGGAGCTAGGAGAATGAGAAGGGGAGAAGAGGAGGGTGAGGAAGACATGATGGGGCAGGGAGGTTGAGTTGGGGGAAGAACAGAAGAGAGCAAGGTAAGAGATAATAAAATAAAGAGAGACATTATAAGTTCAAAGAGAAATCAGGCACTAGGGAAATGTCTGGAGAGCTACAAAGATGACACCAAAAATCTAAACAACAGAGGAGAGGCTACATTAAATTCCCTCTCCTGATAATAAGATTGATGCCATTGTCATATGCCATCGTATAGCCTTCATCCAGCAGCTGGTGGAAGTAGAAAGCAGATACCCATAGCTAAACTTTGAACAGAATTGAAATCCAGATGCAGAGAAGGAGGACTGATGAGCAAAGGGGTCCATACAGGCTGGTGAAACCCAAAGAAACAGCTGACCTGAACAAGGGAAAACTCTTGGTCCCCAGACTGATAGCTGGGAAACCAGCATGGGACTGATCCAGACTCTCTGAATGTGGGTGGGACTCTGTTGCCAGCTCTTGGGACTTTTCCTCCTACTTACTGGCTTGCCTCTTCCAGCCTTGATATGAAGGGGATATTCCCAGTCTTATTGCAACTTGTTATGTCATGTCTGGTTGATATCCCTGGGAGGTCTGCCCTTTTCTGAAGGGAAACAGAGGGGTGGGTGTGGGGGGGGGGAAGGGGGGGGGGGGACAGGGAAGAGGGGAGGGAGAGACCTGTGATTGACAGGTAAAATAATTTACTTTCTAATAAAAAAAGGAGACAAAAGCAAGTACTATATATTCCTTGTGTTTTTAAAAGTTATAGTTTTGAAAAATTAGAAAACAAAACCCAATGGCATTGAGAAAAATGTATCACAAAACAATCATATTTCAATATATTGCTTATAGAAGTAGATAAATGGTAAATAAATGATTATGTGAAAGATATATTAAGTGTATCTTAGTAACTTAATTTTTGCCCAAAAGAAATATTTTACAATGTCTAGAAGGCTAAAATGCCAAAGTAGGAAGAAAAGAATAGCAACTGTATGTCTGACTGGGCAGGTAAATGTTACTCCATTTTATTTTCATTTATTTATTTTTATTATTTGAGAATAAAAGTGTAGTCCTGGCTAGAACTGGCCTTGACCTCCCTGAAAGGTACACCTGCCTGCCTCTGTCTCCGCCTCGGCCTCGTCCCCGGCCCCGGCCCCTCTGCCCCTGTCCGTCTCTGCCTCATGCTGGCATTAACACCACCATGTTTGAATTGTCTCAAAGAGACATAGCAACTTCACAAAATCTGATCAGTTCCCTGTCACCTATGTCACTTCCTCAGAAATATAAAGCAATATTCTTAAACCAGGAAATCTCATCCGTTGGCTCTCCCATGGTTTCAAGGGGAAAGCCCCGGAGAGAACTCAGGCTCCCCCAAGCCATCTATGTAAAAGCAGGATGGACTCTATGTGTGTGTGTGTGTGGCATGTATGTGTGCACATGAGTGTACACGTGTCTCTGAGCACAGATGGAAAGGTCCGTTTTAATTACCGCACTGTAGTAAGTAAAAGAAAGCTTCAAGGAAACACTCAAAACATGCTGGCAGACAGCCCAAAATACTTACCGGTTAGCCAGGCAAGTGAGGGCCTGCTGCCATACTCTTAATAATGGTTTAAAGGCCTCCCTTCTCCTTCCCATCAGTGAAGTCTTTACCAGTTCACACACCATTTCTCTTTCCACGCATTAAACACCAGGCAACCATCACTCAAGACCAGGCTTTGCTGCGATGGAAGGGAGCAGAGGAAATGCAGCTTCAACAGAATGGTTCCTCTCTAATCCGTCACGGTCACGCTATTCAAATAGGAAGAAATCTGTAACCCATTAGACATTTTCCTCCTGCATTAATAGACAGAAAAATTAATTATATTTTGTAGCCATTCCTATTATTGTTTTTTTTTTTCCAAGTTAGGAATGTTTTCAAAAGACTGTGTCTGGAGAGCAGCACGTGGGGACAATTGAATTGGGGTGGGGACAAAGAACAAAGCTTTGCAGTCCTGTATTGCACATACAATTTGGGGAACTGGACCCCCGGTGACAGGAGAGAAGACGACGACTTTGGCAAGAAGAAAGGTGGCATGGTCTTTGGCATCCAGTGCATCAAGAAGTGGTTGGCTACTGATTGGCCAATGCCGTTAAGTATATCCCAGGCATCCAGCCACGTATTTGAGAAAAACTTGGAGTTGATGCAGATGCTATTGGCCATCAGCAACAACACTCCACCCTTGAACTGCAGCCTCATCAGGAAGAAAAATCTCTCTCAAGCTACCCATCCCCACACCACATGTGTGCTCATGGACCATCTGAGAATTCAAAGCTTTCCACACATTTAGGTCACAGAAATATCCACATGGTGACCTGGTTTTCTTCACAATCGTTTAGGTAGAATCAAGTTACCATATTTAGATGCAAGAAATCATTTATCATAATGTTCTCCTGCTCCAAGCAGTTTAACCAGTTCGCATCCAAATGTGCCACGTTTGAATCTGAAGACTTGCTATTTCCAAAGATTGCATAAATTGTAGAATTGCAGAGCTGGAGGCTGCCTCGCATTAGCATCTAATTAAATTTCTTCCATTTCCAGATGAGGAAACTCGGCCTGAGGAGCTTGTCTTAATCCAAGGTAACAAGTAACTAGAGACAGAATTGAAATTTGACCACAGTCAGTTTTCTCTTTTAAAAAAATAAAACGACTGGTCACAGAAAAGTCAAGCAAAATATATTTATTTTTATTTTCATCACTGTCTCTACATTCTATTTAGTTTCCAAAGTTAACAGAAATACAATATGCTCTATGTTGCTGACACTTGACAATGTTTTCTGTATTTGTTTTATATAGTGATGTGTTCATGCATGCCCTTCCTATACACTTCATAACATTAAATGGCATATTTGCATGTGATTCAGTCTCAGAATGTGAGAACACTTCAAAGACAAGGGTTTGTGTTGTGGCTTGTGACAATGTGTGATGAATCTTCATTGTCAACTTGATTGGATTTAAAATCAGCTAGAACACCTAGGTTGTGGTGTGTCTGTCAGGGTATTTCCAGAGAAGTTGAGCAAAGTGTGGATGGCATCATCCCACAGGCCTAACAAAATCCATCACTCTGCTTCCTAATGACTTAATGAGACTATGTCTCCCCCTACTGCCACCATGCCTCCCCACCATGAGGAACTGTCTAATCCAAACTGTGAGCCAAAACAAGCATTTGCCTCCTTACATTGCATTGACCAGCTATGAGAAAAGCAACTCATATATCAGCTATTAAGTACTTTCAGGGTCTTTATTTCTCGACTTGGCTCCACCATGCTTTAATATCATCATAACAGAATAACTAGCTTTGTTCCACATATGAGGATTTTCTGTAAAGCAATCATGAGAGGTGTTAATATCTGATTATGATTATGTGAATTAATTACAATACCATGAAATAACTAATAGCAGAGAAGCAACAAATAATTCCTTTATACATAGAACTTTAACTGGTAAGATGTTTACAAATTTCAAAATATTTCTGTTTCTTAGCAACCTGAGCTAAATAGCAATGACACTTAGTCTTTTATCTCAGTACGCCTTACATAATTTTACTAAAATGAAAGTGAAGATGGTCTGTCTATGGAAAGCTATTATTTTAATGTAATTTACACACACACACACACACACACACACACACACACACACACAATCATCCATACACAGATACCCATGCACACAACACACACACAAAACACAGTGAGCATCTGTTGTTTTTAGCTGACTAAAATATTATAAATATTCTATTCATTATAAAAATAGAACCCCAATCTCTAGTCTCTCAGTTCTTAGGATTCTGGACATCTAAACCATTTCCTTACAGCTTTCTGCATCTTCCATTCTCGTTCTCATCTTCTGTTGGCTGTAGGAGACCAACTGTGAGACAGACCTTACCAGTAGAGCCCATCCCTGTGTCAACAGTGGTTTAGTTACAGGAAATGAGAAATCATCCCATATGACTGAAAGCTAGGGCTTTGCATGGAACGACTATGAACAAACAAAGTTTTATTTTTCTGGTACAAATTACTAGGGCAGCTGAGAGCATAAGAAGGTCAGGCAGGAGGGAAATAGAAATTACATAGAAAAAAGTGAAGTAAAGTGATAACAGCTGCCATATTAAAATAATTTACATCATACTCTGCATCTTTGAATCCAGATATTACAGAATTCAAGGTAATTCTTGGCAATTAATGACAAGTGCCAGCAAGTTCCCCACAACCTACCATGATTTTTACTAGATTTTGCATCAAACAGCAAAAACTGGTTTCCACCTGTAGCCAAAGCACTGAACAAATATGAAATAGCCTAAATTTAAACAAGAGAGCAGCAAAAACTGTCAATTTTTCCCTTTGAGCTAATTTTACTCAACTAAATGGAGGCAGTTAGCATTCAAGGTTTAAGCAGGTATAGTCTTACCTTCTGATTTCTTAACAGTTTTCTAAATCTAAGTATTGCCTTTCCCTCCACAGCCTTCTGAGAGAAACATCCTACACACACACACACACACACACACAGAGAGAGAGAGAGAGAGAGAGAGAGAGAATGTGAGAGAGAGTGTGTGTGTTTTTCCAATTTTCTTATTAGCATACTTAGCTAACATGAGTAAACAGAGGTATGAGAGGGTAGAACAAAGAAAGAGTAACAGGAAGTAATGATTAACACAGGATGTTTTAAAAGGACATACGGAAATCTACTCTATAAACGCGCGTGCACACACACACACACACACACACACACACACACACACACACATATATTCACATATATAAGAAACACACAGAAATAGATTTGATAGTAGATAGACAGGGAGATAAATATAGGTAAATATATAAATAGATTCATTTAAGAATTCAACTGTAGTTACCCTAAAAAGAGTAATGTTCTTCCCTGAACCCAGCAGTAGGTGTGAAATACCTACCTTTGAATTATTGTTGGTCAGGAGACTCCACCAAAATCCCCAAAGCATACAGGCTATGATGACTATTCTAATTCACACACCAGAACTTGATGATGATACCAACTGCTGAATCCACCACACACTTTTGTCTTAGAACGTGGAGAAATCAAGTTAACACTGACCAGCAGCTTCCTCCATGATGGCTAGCTAACTTTCATAGAACTGGAAGGTGCTGTCAGGCTGTGGGGGCAGGAGGGAAGGTGCGTAGGATGGGAATCATCAACTGTCTTACCTAGTTATGAACCCTGTGAACTATAATCATGGCCAGCAGAGCAAGATATGCCCAGAGTTGCATTAGTGGCCCAAATGTCTTGGGAATAACTAACCACATTCTGTTGGGATCAGACCCTCTCCACGGTGGGGGGAGGAGAAATGCATTAGTAACACTATAAATATGTCAAACAACACACAGTTGTGGACCTCACAAGCCCCAGAGATAAGCCTACTCCTATTATTCTGCTAAATGGACATAGTATCAAACTGCCCTCTAAATCTACATCTCTCCACCCACAGACCTTGTGCAGCTCACAGACCTTGTCAGAGAAATTTCTTGGGGCATTGGATGGTGGTTACCACAGAAACTCACAATTGGTTAAAGCATAAAGAATAAATGTCAGTGGAGTGCTCAGCCACAAACAGGACACTTACAGCACTCTCCCATGCAAGACTCAAGGGTCATTGTAGAAGAAGGTTTGGGAGCCTGAGGTCAGGGAGAGCTGGAGTGAAAGTGTCTTCTAGACTTGAGAGGAGTTCTGCACTAATGAATTCACAGCCACAGCGGCTGTGATTGTTTGCACATGACCAAGACAGTCAACCTTCCAGCACTGAGGCAGAAAAGGCTCACAAGTCCCACCAGTAACTGAGGAGTTATTAACAAGCAATGGCTTTGGGGAAATGAAGAGTCAGTTTCCTTTTAGGGTGTGGCCCCAGCAGTTTGACCACACTCCAGCAGATGGCTCTACATCCAGGAGTATAAAAAAAATGTTTATTATTTAAAAATAATAAGCTTATTATTAAAATTACTAATTGAAATACTATTTTAGAAAAAGCTTTAGGATATTGACCTGTTCAAACTGATTCTGTCAAGTTGGCTCATCAAAGATGGGAAAGGTTTAGCCACTTGATTCAACTGGCAGGATGCAGGAACTTCAAACATTAACCTTGGGAAGGTTGAGAATCTAAGCCCTCACACTGTAGTTTTTTATTAAATTATGTTTGGAGAAAGGACCAAAGGCATATGTATCTAAGTTCATGGTTCTAGCAAGTAGTTTTAGAATGCTCATTTAATATATCTGATTTTTAAAAAAAGAACCAGTTTTTATTCTAATAATACATTACTGTGAATTTCTTCCGCAGCTTCTCAAATGTCTTGTTGCTGTAAATTATTCAGCATTTAGGATAATGACATTTTCCTCTCATTTCATCACCATTTGGAGAAGTATAATTAACAGATTATCCCTTTTGGGGTACTGTAAGAAAATAGGATTTAATAGTAGTCTTTTTAGAAGACTGAGTATGCCAGGTTGTAAGTTTAACAAATATTAATATCACAGATACAGCATAGGTCATATTTTTTCTATTTTGAATGGTTCTGAGAACACAAGGTTAGAATCACAACAACATTAATTATATGAGAAAATCTTAAGATAACACTCAGGAGGAGATTTCATCTCCCTTCAAATAATTTTAGCTAATGAGTATTGCTTATGGGGATACCCTAATTATATTAAAGTGTAGCAATATTTGTATAGCTTTCTAGTTTAGAAATGATCTCAGCCCACCAGCCGACAAAATGGCTCAACAAGAATGAAGTCCTTTCCACAGAATAAGAAACAGATGTTCAGATCAAGCTCTTGGTGAGTGTCTAACAAGGGTGGTTTTAAGTGGCTCTTATAATTGGATTCATTGCCAGAGAGCACTAATCAGAATTTCCCACTGAGGAATCAAAACAGAGTGCTGTCCACCTAGCCAGCAACATCAAAACCCAGGTATCAGTTATCTCTCCTTAAATATTATTGGACTTCAGAAAGAAGAGAAACCAATCTGGCAAAAATAAAAGAATGCCATAGGCATTAGAGGTGTGGGAGCAGAGATTTTACCTGCCCTGGTGCCTTTGGGAAACCCATATCTCATACATGGTCACCACCCAAAAGCTCTTTGCCAACAAGCTGACTAAACAATCTATCCTAATAAACTAATGAAACCTAGCTAATGTGTGTATATATATATATATATATATATATATATATATATATATATCATAATATTACATATATTATTATTATTATTACTATTATTATTATTAGGAAATCAGTAAGTTATGTATCACACAAATCTAATTTTTAATGAGTACTTTAAAACTTCCTCATTTGAACTAGGTAAAATCTACTTGTGACTTACATGACTCTTCATGGTCTTGCTTTTTGTTTTATTTTCTGTGTGTGCATGTGTGGATGCTTGGTCTGCATGTATATATGGGTACCTGATGGGGGAAGTACTTCTGTGTATGTTTATCTTATTGATTGTTAAATAAAATACTGTTTGGCCAATGACATAGCAACTTAGACAGGAGTAGGAGTCAAAGAGGATTCTGGAAAATGTAGTAGGGAAGTGGTGATCCAGGCAGGAAGTGACATAGCAAGGAGACTCATATTTAAGCAAAGGAGAAACAGGAAGTGTCCCCTTTTTCCCCTTGCTCCTCCAGCAGCAGGATATGATCCACTGGCAAGGAGGGACGTCAATAAGGCGTCCGATAAGATAAGTCTTATAACATATATAAATTTATGATAATTAAGACTGAGCTAACAGATGAAGAATCCTAGTCATTGGCCAATCAGCTTTGAACCTAATACAAGTTTCTGGGTAGTCATTTGGGCCCTAATTCAGGCGGGCGGCTGGTGGAAAGCTCACA